CATTTCGGAATTTTAAATTTTTTTTTTTTTGGAACGGATTTCCAGTAATTTTTCATAATTATCAACGATGTTGAAGAAAAAATAAAACTATAAAAGAGTCAAAAGAATAATTCAAACAAAAAGACTATTACTTCGATATTTTTGAATTATTTCGAATAATTTGCATAGCCCTAGTTTACATATTTAATTAATTATTTATTTATCTGTAAATCTTACCGATGTAATGTCAAGTTTCTGAGTTAGTGGACAGTACCAATTCAATCTGGTTCCGTTTTGGCCTTCAGCAACGTCATAGGGACTAGATAAGGAACTTTGTGAAATAATTCCTGATTCTTGGAGAACTCCAAAGTTTCCGAAGTATTGCTTGGCTACATTCATATTGGTTCATATTTAGGTGCATGAAACATATCTGAAAGTAAAGAATTTTAAATTATGTAGTTAGTACCCGTCGATTGATTAAAATTATACAAATAAATAACAATCAAAATTTTGTTAACAATTTTTATTTGAAGACTCCACATAATACTAGTAATTCCGAAATAAATGTCAAGCTTTAAATAGAATTGGTTGGACTTTTTTTTTGTTTTATTTTGTACAATTTACCAAATTTTACAATAATTGCACCCTTGATAGTTTATTGTTAATTATAATTATAGACGAAGGGGTATTTACTTATCTTTTTTAATAACTGTATGTTTTTTAAATCTAAAAAGTCGAAATTTTTAATATAAATATTGAAACTACATCGAAATTAATGTGATTTTTGAATTTAACATACACGAATTAGTTAGAATTGAGTTTGATATGATTAAAATTGAAGATAATGTGTGATCAACTTTGACTTCCCTTGACGGAAACACTGGCAGAGAGGCCCTCTTTATTTATTTTTGACATAATCCTAAAGACACAGATCGAAGGGTAAGGATTGATCGCAAAAATAAACTAAAATTTGAGGGCGAGAAAATGGGAAATTTTGTTCGTAGTACACTCAGTTTGCTGTTAAAATACAGTGTAAACTCTCTATAACGTTACTCGATTTAACGACAAACTCCTTAAAACGTCGAAATTGCTTGACTGGTTGGTTTACATTGTTTTCTATACAATATTACACTCTATATAGCGTCACACTCACTCTATTTAACGACAACAATGCGGCATTATAAATCATTAAGCAGTACTTTCTAAGTGTACGTTGTTAAAGAAGACGATCCTGTCCCTCCACCAAGCATCGAACAAGCACTTGATGCAGCGAAACTATTAAAAAAATACTTTTTATATAATCAAATTGATCCAGCGGTAGGTATCATGTCGAGTAAAATATGCAAGTAGGTACTTATAATGCAAAATAAATTTCAGAATAAAATCTTACAACTTCTTATCTAATAAGTGTAATAAGGACGATAGGACCAACAAAGTAATAACACTAGAAAAACGTCCGAGTCATCTATTTAAATCATCCATTTGTAAGAGTTCCCTTAATGCGATTATGTAAGTTTGGGCCATCTGTAGCGTTTCAAATTTACTTAATTTGTGGTCCGCGTCCAGACTAGGAATGACTTGACGTAAGCGATCAAAGGCCTCGTTAAGGCCATTCATTCTCCTTCTTTCTCTAGCGTTGGCCGCTAGACGACGCTTACGGACGACCGACGGAGACGGAGGACGATCTCTAACGGGTCCTTTTCGTTTTCCGCGGTTTGTCCTGCGGCTTCCGATTTGTCGATTGTTGTTGTTGTTTGTCGACGTGTCGTCACTTAGATTGTTATTGTCCACGTCTCTTATGACCGTCGGTTTTAAACACAAGTCATCGAAACTGTGACACGTGNTACAAAATGCTCTCGTATGGCCACACCGTTAGAGAAGCAGGTTGTTGGTGTATTATGTATTTACCGCTAATACACTGTGAACAGTCTTTATTTTCATTTATTTATTTATTTATTAGAATCATCGTCTATTCTGTACCAGGAGACTCTCTACCGTCTTTCTTCTTTTAATCATGTCCAAAGAAATGTCAGCAAAAGTAAATAGTAACGTTTACTTATATTTTGTCGTGTATTTTGTTTCAACTAGTATTTATGCAAACTGACGAACCGCGAAGTTTGTGTCACTTCGACGTCGTGAAGAAGCGCAAAAATGGTGGCGACCGATCATGCCATTGAAATTTTTTTTTACCGCAAGTCGATAGACGAGTGCTCTCGAATCGGAATCGTCACGTGTCAAGAAAACTACTTCAACTGCAACCGATTTGTTTGATTAGCAGTTGTAATAAGCCGTGTTTGAATTTCAAAGACAATTTGATTATATAATAGGAGAGAAGATGTTCGTCAGAGCAAATACTTGACGCGTGTCTAGCACATATTCATGTCGAATATCTAACGCTACAATCGCAACGTGCGGTACTTTAAAAATTATCTCACGAAGCAGGATACCTGTATAATACGTAGACTAAATCACAGTGAGGATAATAGGTAGAACTAATAGTGGCCGAAAACATCCAGGATTAGGAACTAATCATGGCCGAAAAGGTTGGTCGAGAAAGTTTAGGATTAGGAACTAATAGTGGCCGAAAAAGTCTAGGAATAAGAACTAATAGTGGCCTAAAAGATTTAGGATTAAGAACTAGTAGTGACCGAAAAGTCTAGAATTATGAACTAATAGTGGTCAAATAGATCAAAGATGAAGATCTAATAGTGGCCGAAATAGTCTAGGATTAAGAACTAACAGTGGCCAAATATATGCAGGATTAGGAACTAATAGTGACCGAAAAGGTCTAGGATTAAGAACTATTAGTGCGCAAAAGAGATACAGGATTAGGAACTAGTAATGACCGAAAAGTCTAGAAGTAAGTACTAATAGTGGTCGAAACGATCCAGTATTAGGAACTACTAGTGGTCGAAAAGGTCTAGGTTTAAGAGCTGATAGTACCCGAAAAGGTCTAGGATTAAGAACTAATAGTAGTCAAATAGATCTAAGATTAAGATCTGCTAGTGGCCAAAAAAGTCTAGGATTAGCAACTAATAGTGTCCGAAAAGATCCAGGATTAGAGACTAATACAGGCCGACAGTTTCTCGGATTAAGAACTAATAGTGGCCAAATAGATACAGGATTAGGAACTAGTAATGGCCGAAAAGTCTAGAAATAACTACTAATAGTGGTCGAAAAGATCCAGTATTAGGAACTAATAGTGGTCGAAAAGGTCTAGGTTTAAGAGCTGATAGTACCCGAAAAGGTCTAGGATTAAGAACTAATAGTAGTCAAATAGATCTAAGATTAAGATCTGCTAGTGGCCAAAAAAGTCTAGGATTAGCAACTAATAGTGTCCGAAAAGATCCAGGATTAGTAATTAGGATCTAGTTTCTCGGATTAAGAACTAATAGTGGCCAAATAGATACAGGATTAGAAACTAATAGTGGCCGAAAAGTCTAGAATTAGGAACTAATGGTGGCCGAAAAGGTATAGAAGTAAGAATTAATAGTACCCAAAAAGCCCAGGATTAGGAGTTAATAATGACCTAAAAGGTCTAGGAGTAAGAACAAATAGTAGCCAAAAGATCTAGGACAAGGAATCCAAGGAAATTTTGTTGGTTATTTTCCATCAGATTCCAGTAACTTTAAGTAATGTTATTGGAATTATGGTGAAATATGTTAATATTTATCTTAAAAAAGATAGAGGGGGCCTAAATATGGTACAAGCGACATTCGGATTTGACGGTTTTACCAATAAAAAAGTTGTTATGTAAATTGCATAGAAAATGTAATCCACTTTGTTTCTTTGATATTGAATGTATAACCTGGTAGGTTTTATAACAGAAATATAAATGTGAAAAGAGAAATAGGCTTAGTGTAAGGTCCATTGGGGTTGTCGGCTTTTAGTTAAGATTTGAACTGGCACCAAATTTAATGCAAAGTTTTAATAAAATCAATCAATTGTATTTAACACAATAAATATAAATCCTGAATTGAATGGAAAAAAAAAATAAAATACAGACAATGAAATATAATTTTAGTGTGATTGTCACCTGGTCATTTGTATTTGAAAATTATGGTAGTTTTAGTTTTAATCCTTAATAATTGTATGATACAACGAAAAATTATTGTTAGTAAATAAAAAATATTTAATAATGACTTACCTCATAATTTAAAAAATCATCACTTAAACTTTCAACTTAAAATAATTCACAAAAAATATCATCCATTATTTCGTTCCGCATTATATCTTCACTAAACTATTTTGATGCAAAAGAATATAACAAATATCCCGTTTTCTTATTTTAATTAGTCCATATCGGTTAGGTTAATTAGGCACAATTTTAGTCACATTTTTAAAAACAAAAACTCCGCGCGATGCGATTGTCCTGCGGACGATCAGGGTAGTCTATTGGTTCGAGATTAAGGGTTAGAACGATGACCCTCCACTTAGGCTGGTAACGGAAGTGCGGAAGTAGATTTGATGATATCGGGGATGGACTGACCTACAACACATTGAGTCGCGTGCCTCATCAACCACCGGCTCAAAGCGATCTTCAAAAGAAATCCAGGACCGTACTTAATCTTTCTTACTGAAATACACATATACGTATAGGGGCATTCCTTTTTTTATAAAACGTTTCTTGATTCTCAAGTAGTTGCTATATTAATATACATAGAAAAAGGGAGAATTACTTTTGCTATTGGGGTTCTTTATTATTTCAAAATGTAGACCAATAATTCGCTTATAACGAACAAAATTTAAAGAACTAAATTACATTTCATTAAAACAAATGTTATCCATTCTTGGATATAACGAACATATTTAAAACGAACGATCGGCTTTAGCGGACACTTTTGAACGATAAATTAGCAGGTCCCATCGGTTATAACAAAGTAATACTTTTTCATGAGATTCACCTAGCCAATCATAAATGCGGTTTTAAAATTATTCCTTTTATTTAATGTCGAACCTTTTTTTTGACAAGTGAATGGTTATATGTATTGAGGAAAAAACCCTTTCTTAAAAACTAGGTTTCAAATAAAATTGCTGACTATTTTACTGTACAAGATATAGTTTATACATGTATTTTAGGTTGTCTGTAGCATTTTTCTTCCGTAATTCCTTAGACGTAGGTGCATAAAATATAACCCTGTAGGGGAATGGGAAGAAGGTTGGCTGCATGAATGAAAAGTTTCTCACAGAGAGAACAAAAAAGTTTATTTTTTAAGTTAGATATTATATTTTGTAATAGGTAATTCAAAAGTTCTTTTTTTTCAATAATTTCGTGAATATATTGGTTCTCAGATTCTGTGGCTTAAATAAATTGTTTTATAATTAAAATCTGATTTGTTATTTATTTTCCTTGCTTTGTTGAGAATTTTCCAAAAAACTTATTACAATGATTACTTACACAAATCTGCAAAAAAATTAGTATCAAAAGAGTGTTCACATCTTAAAATAGTTTAGTGACTTTTGTGACATCTGGTACCATCCATTTGGTTTATAAGTTGGTTAAATAAACATTTAGTTTTGCTCAAGATGGTATATGGAAATTAAAAGAAAATAAGAATTTCATTAACCGATTGCAAGTGTTTGGGCTTCTGTAATTTAGTCAAGAAATGTTTTAAGTATCTGTCTTGAAATTGTTTTGAAACAAATCCAGTTAACGTAGAAACATTCTGATCGTTCAGTATCAACTAAAAAATTTTGCATGTAATAAACATGGTAGAAACCAAAATTATATAGCTCAATATTCTGTTCACAAAAGGTGACTGTTAACTATTTTCTTTTAACAAAAAAATGGTAATGAAAATTAGCAGTTTTTAAGAATGTCATCTTCAGTCGGAGCTATAGCCATATTAAATACAAAAACTCAACCGACGTTTTACCTTCTAGTATGAGACTTCGTCAGGGCCATAATATGAGATGGGTTTAGAGGTAAATTATAGTTAAAATTTAGGTCTTTCTGTGATTTTGGATTATATGATGATCGCATACCTATCGCCCTGAGGAAGCCCTGTACTAGAAGGATGACGTCAATCCTGTCTGAGATTGCATAACTGAAATTCTATTGAGTGGAAGAAACGGTAACTATGTTAAAATTTATATTTGGTGTTGTTTTATGGTTAAATGCTATTTTCAATACTTTTATTGCATCACTCATACTATCCATCTAGTTGGATTCGTAATTAATGTTAGAAATATTCTACTCACCAAAAGTAACTTAACTATAGAAATTCGAAAAAATTGACACATTTTTGGTTTTTAAGAATGTCATCTTCAGTCGGAGCTATAGCTATATTAAATACAAAAACTCAACCGACGTTTTACCTTCTAGTATGAGGCTTCGTCAGTGCCATAATAAGAGATTGGTTTAGAGCTAAACTTTAGTTAAAATTAAGGTCTTTCTGTGATTTTGGATTATATAATGATCGCATACTATCGCCCTGAGGAAGCCCTGTACCAGAAGGATGACGTCAATCCTGTCTCTGATTGCATAACTGATATTCTATTGAGAGGAAGAAATGATAACTATGTTAAAATTTATAATTGGTGTTGATTTAGTTGATTTATGGTTAAATGCTATATCTAATACTTTTATTGCATTACTCAAACTATCCATCTAGTTGAATTCTTTACATTGAGTTGCTTTATACCTTGTAGTACGGCCCTGTAATAACATATGCACCGACATATATACATATATCTGGCGGCATTCTTTTACACCGACGGACACCTTATGCCGCGCACGTGGCACGTGTTTCGCCGGTGGTGGTACCCTAATGATATTACTGTAGAAGTAAGTCATGGTGGGAGCAACGTTTGCACCCCCTTCCAATTGTTTCCCTGTTACCGTTGAGACTTTAACAATTCTCCCCGTTGTTTTGCCGACGAGTGTCTATGTTAATATGCGGCATAAAAAGGGCAGATGCTGCAATTAACTCGGCGAGATGTTCGGGCTGCGATTAGATGCATCCGACCGATAGGCCACAGTCGAATATGTATGACTATTGCTTATTAAGATGGATTATATGCAGTACTTATCGACCCTTTGATACAGTGATGAATTTATTTACAAGTTTTAACCGATAAAAACGAAGGGCTGAATGAAAAGAAACAGACATAGACAAGGGGGTCTTGTATTAATTTAAAATATTAAAAATTAAACACTAAACTAGTAACTTATTTTATGAGAATTGATGACAAAAACTAGCCATTTATTCAAATTTTGATTAAACAAAAACGTTTAATCATATCACTTCATAAAAAATTCAACAACACGTGCAACTCAGTAGGTACACGTGAAAGAAGTGAAACATCTTTGGCCATCTCTATACCTTTATAACGAATAAGTAATGATTGCTGAAAAAAAGAGTACGAGAATTTTCAGGATTTATGTTTTCCAACATATTTTATCTTTAGTCCACAGTTCCGTTTATTTTTCCAAGTGATTAAGAAACCGTAAACTTTCAATAATTACAAGGAATTAGAATTAATAAATAATAATGCTCACTCTTAAATAAATATTAATTGTGTTAAATAAACATTTGCTGTAATATAACTGCACAGATATAACCAAAAAAATTAATTGGGCATACACCACCTGGTAGCAAAACTCGTAACTAAAATGAGGAATAAATATCCGAGGGAATGGTATACATAAATCGTAAAATTGTTTATGAAAATAATAAAACACGTTAAAAAAGTAAAAAAAAATTTGATGATGGAGTCGACGAAGTTTTCTTCTAAAGTTAAATCAAATAAAAAGTTAATATGTTCAGTGAAAAGCTGCAATAGCACTTCAGATATAGATCTTCACTCTTCACCTACATTAACTACTTTCCAATAAAAACTAACCGTTTTATATATGTAAAAAAATATATTCGGAAAATTAGAGAAAAAAGTAAACTAATAGAAGCTTGGGTGAAAGCAGTAGGTATCAAAGAAGTGAATTCCGGAATAAAAATTTGTTCACGTCATTTTAATGCACATGATTATATTTCAGCAAGTATTTACCATCAGCCATAACCTTAATATTTAAAACTAGAATCATACTAAAATTATAAAGTGAGAAATTATTTATTCCTGTGTAATTGATTTAACACAATTCTAATGATACGATATAAGTATTTTGAGGTTAAGAACCTACCTGCTGCAATGCAACAAAGTTGCAATAATAATGTGTTTGCAACGTTCTCTTAAATCGGTTTTGCACGTGCAAGTCATTGATACGATATTGCTTAAATCACCCAGAATCACCTCACCAATCATATAACGTGAATCACTTTTTAAAATCCGAAGTTTGTAAAAAGTAGGCAGTAAACTTGACGGAATTTGTTATTTCCGAATTTTATAATGTGATTGGCATTAAAAACATTGTGTCAATACTTATCATTTTATGGTAATTTAAAAACTTGGAAATTGCACGGTACACTAAATTTTCCCTAATCGGCGCCATGTTTTTAGGCTCCTGCCATTTGACGGATCCCAATAGTATAGTGAATATACATTATAATAATATATGAGATAACGGTCACTAACTGCTGACTGTAATACCGATATGCGCATGCGCGCCTTCCCTCAAAGCCTATAGCTTTGCGAGACGAATCGTTATCGTTGCAGAACGTGTCGTTTCATGGCCTTGATATTTTACTCTCATCGAGCCCAAAGAAGTTTCACTTCGAAAATCTTAGATGGTCGATACCACAGTTACATTTAGAAAATGTATAGGTATTAAATCCCAAAAGGTGCAACACATTGTGTTCATTTTTTTGTGCAATGAACGTTGAACACGTCTATAATACACGGAATAATAGTTAAATTTATTTTTTTGTATCGTCGACTTCAGCACGTAACACACCGTTTACAAAGTTAATAAACTGGAACAGGGGAGAAATAGATACGATGGTATCAACATGTGTTTTCAAGTATGACTGTATACCCTACGGATCAATTAGTTTATTGTTAAGGTTTGATTTTATAATTGATATATAATAACTCCTACAGGCGTCCCCTTTCATCGATTAATTTTCTCCCTATGGTCGCTTTTGTGACTTTTTTAAGGGGTGGACTACAATAATAGCACGCCTAATCAACGAGAAGGTGGCTTGTATCGTTACGAAATTAATATTCTACATAGGTACAATGTGTTAACGTCATAAGAT